ATAAACACACACACACACACATATACACAGTACATTTGGTAAGTAATATCACTTCTTATACATATCCAATCTTTTTCTTCCTTACTGAACATGAACATAATCCATTAATTTTGATATCAATTAATAGCATTTGTCATAAAACTGCAGCCAAATACATATACTTGGAAACCAGTTCCATTGAAGTTGGTGGTATCTGAAGTTCATTCATAAGAAAATAGAGCCTTGTGCTGGATCTAGTTGTTGATTCACCAAATCCAGCATGCTGCTTTCCAGAACAGCCAACCAGTTCTGCTGGAAAGCACATTAAGAAGGCAAAACTTCATCTTTGTTTCTCTCAGCATGTTTTTTCAAGGCATGATGCTTTTAAATCTGGAGATTGCCTTCGATAGTAGCCATTGTTCGGGTTCTTCTCATTTACTCTACCCGATGGCATCTACACCCTTATTGACTTTGTCCAACTTTCCCAATACGGACCATAAATCAGGGAATGATGGACTTGTAGTCTGTTGCATAATCGCAGGGTTGAGAAGGGTGATTTAGCTGTGATTGCAAGAACATTTAAAAAGCTGTTTTTGTAAGAGAGGAACAGTGAGCTTTGACCCAGTAATTTTAGCTCATGATAGATCAGTTATAAGTCCAATATAAAAATTAAATATTCAAGGAGTTACATAACTAGAGTAGAATAGAATAGAATAGAATAGAATAGAATAGAATAGAATAGAATAGAATAGAATTTTTATTATGGTCATGGACCAGAGTTACAAATAGAAGCACATTAAAATAAACATAAAAACAAAACAGAATAAAAATATATTACAAATAGTGGTGGGTTCATCAATGGGCAATCAAGTTATGTAACACATATATTAACTTAGTAAATATGTTTGGGACTGTACTTCTTAGTCACATAGCTTTTATTGATGTATGGAAGCATTTTATTCAGTTCTTTGGAAAACATCCTAATTTGTCAGGATCAGAAGTGGTTTGCTCTTTTGCTGTTAGTACATCAATACAAATAATGGGAGATTTATGCTTTTTTAAAATTGATTTATTTTTACATTATATATTGTGCTGGGTTCCAAACATTAATCTTCAGTCCTGGAAATTGAATTTTTATTTTAAATTATGGCTAGCTTTTGTTGAAAAAGCTGAAAAAAACAAATATATTTTAACTGCACAAAGCAACTACTGTAACACTGTATCTCGGCCTTAAATATTCTGTTGCAGAAAATTCTTAACCCTAAAATGCTTGCAACTTTTAGGAGGGAAGTTGTAAAGTAGGGAGCCAAATACAATTAAAGCACTGGGTGCAAAAGTTTATCATTTGTGGCCCCTGCATCTAATAAATGGACTACTCAGGGGGGTTTAAAGTGTCTATGAAAACCTTAGCAAAGCTGAGAATAAAATAATTTTGCTGCAGACATAGTTGCGTACTCAGCAGTACCACAATTGTGTCATTTGCTATTTTGGAATTGGTTCCTCAAAGCAGTTCCTCATTTATATGTATAAACTGGAAATCCCAAGGTATTTGAAGGATACAAAGCCTGCTGTAGACCCAAATCATTCATTTTCAGACACTGAAGCACACTGAATTGGTTTTAATAGTATTAATTGTGCTAACACCTGTTCAGCCATCAAAGAAAGAGGGAAAGGTTCTCTTAGCACTGGACAAGAAGATGCTTACCTCCATTTGAGAGGGTAGCTGGGAACTGTATGTGTGTGTGTGTTGTGAATGTGAGTGTGATTTGAGAAATCTGTGTTAATGGAGTATGGATGATTTTTGTATTCAAATATAAGGAGTTGCACATCCCTACATGGAACGCAGACCCTAATATGCTGATTTGTAGCAGTTCAATGCCTTGGCCAAAAATGATCCCGTAGTGTTGGCATATAGCATAAATTACTATGATGGATAATAATTGCATGACCAAAGACTCTCCTGCTGACAAATCACTTCTTGCTTCTGTCTCTTACTGCCTTCTAAATGAGGATGATAAATGAAAAGTAAGGAGTGTTGCATATCAAATAACTTTGCTGAATCCATGATTTAAATAAATCACAGATGCAGGATTACAGTAACATTCCAGGACTCTTCAGACCCAACTTTGAGCTTGTGTCCCATACCAACATCTGACAGTTGTTTCCATATAATGGCTGTAGGTAAAGCCTTAAAGTATGACTTGCTGTCTTGAAAAAAACAAAATTTCCCAAATTTACTTCAAACTTAACCATTTCTCTGGGGGAGAAATAGGAAAATGGATTTCCTGATGTAATACATTGCATATGCTTTTCCCTATCTGTAGATAAACCTGATCCTCCAGCAGGAACACCCTGTGCGTCAGACATCCGGAGTTCTTCCCTCATCCTTTCGTGGTATGGCTCCTCGTATGATGGTGGGAGTGCAGTGCAGTCCTACAGTGTGGAAATATGGGACACAGTGGACAAGAAATGGACAGATCTCACTACTTGCCGCAGCACTTCATACAATGTACAAGATCTTCTAGCTGACCGGGAGTACAAATTCAGGGTGCGAGCTGCTAATGTGTACGGGATCAGTGAGCCAAGTCAGGAATCTGAGCTAGTAAAAGTAGGAGAGAAACAAGAAGGTAAGTCTACCACATGAGGATTATGTTTTGGAATATTTCTGTATCCCTGGAATGCTAGTTGCTGTAAGCGCAACTAATCCCTTTACTCAAGATGAGGAAGTGAGGGTGGGTTATGTGAACACATACAAAAATGTTGCAGGGCTTGCCCTCTGGAACAGTATCGCCCCCATCCGAGTTCCGTATGGCTCCCACCTTGCAGTTGATTTGTAAATCTTTTGAAAACCTGGCTTTGTTCCCAGGCCTGGAGTTAGGGTGGTCGTCGATCCTCTGTTAGTTTTTGGTTTTTTTGGTGTGGTGGTTTTTTTCCCCCAGAAGTGTATGTCTTTTTTCCTTCATTTTATTATTTCTTACTTTTGAGATGTAAGCTGCCCAGAGTCATTTGGGACCAAGTGACTTCTAAATCCAATAAAATTATAAGTTATAAAATGGAGGTCTTATGCATTTTTATCTCAATGTGATCCAAACTTTTTGGTTGGATAATGAATACTTGAAAATGAGCTTTATTGTCCTGGGAAAAAATGTTTGCCTTTGCCTTATGAATTATAATTGAATCTTTGTTGCTATCTTTCTATTTTAAGTTCAGCAAAGTAATAGAGACTTGCTGGTAGAGTGCAACAATTCAGATCATTGCCTTCTCCCTGGGAATTCATGATTTATACATTAGCCTAGCTATGAGTTATTAGATTGCTTGGGGTAAGGGGTTGAACCATACCTAGTTAGTAGGTTATGTGGTTTGCACTTTACTGTTTGGAGAAGACAGATCAGAGCTTTATGGAGCAGTTGCCTATAAGGCATCTTATAATAGGCAAGCCACTCTTCCTTGCAACTTGAGTTCCCAGCTCTAAAATGCTGTTCTGAATTACTTCACAGGTCTGTTATATGTAACTGAAATAATAGGAATCAAGCATTTTAAGTTCTTAAGGAAAAGGGTATATAAATCTATCAAAAGGGACTGTTTTTCTGATACTGGGATGGAGGGAGACTTATGAATTGCAGTATTTTTAGATTATAAGAACCAGGATGTGGTACAGACTGTGCCATTTCCTTATATGTACATCAACAATGAATTGACAGATAATAGCTGTTTTTGAGGGCAAGGTATCGCAGTTTAGTTGAAAATATAATACTATATCTATAGAATGATACTTCAAGTCACTTAGAAAACAGATTTTTAAAAAACATTATTTAGAAAATAATCTAGCAGCATGGCAGAGGAAACAAATACCACAGAATGTTTTTGTTTGTATGTTTATTATGTGTATAAACAATACCTCCTGCTTACAAGGTCAGTATATGATAAAGTTAAAATAAAACCATCAAACACTGGAGCAAGAAACCTTATACATTAAAGGAGACATCATTAAAATTAGTGACAACACAATAACTTAAGCCCAACAAGATTTTGCTGCCTAAGTTAAATGGAGCAAGGAATGTTTCTGGAGCTTATATTCTACAACAGATGCCTAGCTTTCAGATACCTCAGCCTCATATTGTTCAGGTTTTAGGATTACAGTAGCTCTTTCAATCCTCTACCTATGTAAGACTGCATTATAAGTGTGCAGTAAAACAAAAATGAACAATGAAGAGGAAGGACCATAGAAAACATGAGGAGCATAAAAAAAACTTATTATCTCACATTCATTTCATAATGAAGTTCCTCACCAATTTGATTAAAGTATTTTTCTGGCAGATGAGAAGCAGAATATTATTGCAAATGCTAGTGGCCATTGCACATTGAAAAATGCAGTCCTGTGCCATAAAAGACTTTTGGCAGAAGAAACATTTGATGCAGATTTCATCTTTTCCGGAAATTTCAATCATACCCAAATGTATTTAGGATTGTTATCCTACGACTTGCTGAATAAAGATAATACACTCCCAAAACAAAGGCTGCATGTCAGGAATAATCAATCTTATCCTGTATTTTGAAGGATTAGTAAAGGGCAAGACAGAGAAACGTAATGATTTTATCCTACTCAGATTATATTGTAAGGGTATAGGAGTACATTAAAACAGAGCATATTAAATGGATCAACTGAAGTATTGAAAAACATATATAATTAAAGCCTAGGCAATATTTTTCCTCTATTTTAGAAGAGTTGATCATAGAGCTGATTTACCAATCTAGTATCAACCTTCATATATTTAAATGGAATTTCCTTTCAGCCAGAGGATTTCTGATTATTCACCAGATATATTGTAAATTACAACAACGACAACCTTTTGGTCTCTATACCTCTATAGACAAGAAAAAAAATACTTTAGTCTTTAGAAACATTTTCTGCATTTTTTGTCTCTTGACTCAAAGATCAAACTATTTTTGCTTCTTTAATCTCGAGTGGTTAAAACTGGAAAATGTGGACCTAGCTGCCACATTGTTTGTACCAATTCTGAGACGGATCATCATATTTTCCTGAAATTGGGGGTCTTGGACAATTTGTCTGGCTCAGGGTGATCCTATTTCCAATCATATTCTGCTATTCCTAAAGCCTGTGTTTGCACTTCAGCAAGCGTACAGTTCTTATCAGCATGCTTTATGTAGACCTGATGTCTTCTCTTGAGACTGTCATTTTGTTATTAGTTATTTGATATTATTCATCTGCCAGTGGCATGTATTGAATGTTATATGTGATTTAGATTTTTGTCATCCCCGTCTCAGCCTATGAATTGCTCTTCATTCTTTGAAGTGCACAGTTCTAAGCTGTTTGCTCCAAATTTCAGTAAAATATACTTTCTATCTGAAGTGCTTGCAGTGTTATTTTAGAAAGAATGAAAGAGTAAGCCAAGGATTCTCCATTGCGCAGTCCTCTTAATGGAGAAGCCTATATCTAGACTTAAATAGAATGGGATGGATACTAGCCTGCTCCTGTATTTCTTAGCAGCTTTATATTGTCTTATTGAAGGCCTTCTTGAGGCACCGTCACTTTAAAGGACTTCTTGCAGTAGAAACTTCGGTAAGACCAAAACCTAGTTCACCCAATTTCTAGTCCCTCTGCTGCAGGAAAAAAAAATGCTACAATAAACCCAATGGTTTTTAAGATCCCTCAAAAAAATAGAAAATAATCAGCGGCAGTCTATCACATGGTATTACTCTAGAGTTTATTCAGTTCTTTAAAAGTTGCATGTTCATCCTTTCCAGCACTGGATCCAGCTTCCAAAATCTGAGGATTCATACAGCTCTGTATTGTAATAAAGAAATCAAGGCTACCTCTTTCCTAAATAGTATCTTAGATTAGCTTTCCTCAGCCTGTTTTAGACAGCAATTTCTAAAAATCCCAACCAGCATAGCCCCATTTGGAGGTTGATGATGGAAGTCCAACATATCTGAAGAGCACTGGATTCATGGCGGCCAGGTTTAAGCACTGAAATAACAAGTGTTTTGTTTTTTTAAGAAAATAAATAAGGTACCCCACATCATGTTTTCTTACATTCAGCCCATGGGGTCATGTGTTTCAATTCCTTTTTCCTGTTTTAAAATACATTCTATATGCACTCTTTATAGATTTAATTGACTTCAAATAAAATAGTTCATAATATTATTTTAGAATAAAACATTGCAGTAGTTTAGAGCTATTTAATATTTAGTTCCTATATTTGTAGGATTCTTTCAGTTTTTTATCACTCAGGATTTAATTAAGGGCATCTCTCTAAAGACTGAAATACTTACTGTATAATCACACTGTCAACAATGTGTTCCCTTCAAGAAAGAAAGCAATGGAAAAGCTGGAAAACAGCTGTTTGAAAGAACGGCCCATATAGAGGAATGATTTTTCTGTGCTGCAATCCCCCCTCAACCCTGTCATTGGAAGAAAAAAACATTGTGAACTTTTTAAGTTATAAAAGGAAATATAATAAATGTGATTATACTTTGTATGCAAGCCTCAGGCATGTGTTTAATCTGAATCCAGCCCTCTTTGGAGGTCATGCATTATAACTCTGCTTCAGCACAACAATCTGTGATAGCTGAAAGTAAAATAAGTGTTCAAGTTAGAGAATATGAGTTTTATATATAATTTTTTACATTAACATTTGAACTTTGAGAAGATACTGATTGGGTAGAATTTACTAGTTCCTGCATTCAAAACTGAGAGCAAGATTCCTCATGCTTTTGTTGACAACTGGTCGTTTGAAACTTAAAACTGATCAACCTCAAGAAGACATGGAAAACTTCCATGTCAATGTCAGTTACACTATTGCTAGGTACTGTTGCCAGACATGCAAATGGCATGAAGATTGACCACATGTGGCAACAAAAGAAGTTTTTAGAACAGTGGAGGTGGTTCAGGTGTCCTCTACACGACAACTTCAATTTTATATTTATAACACTTAGCAAAATAAATCTTTTGCATAGCTTACTAAATGTTAATTGATAGACCTCACAAAGAATTTGGATAGGTTTTTTGGTCTGCAATCCCACAAGATGCCTTAAGCTAGATCAGATCATTACTCTCTAGTCTGACTGTCCCAAACAGAGCTCTTCTCATGAATAGCCATCTGATCCTTGTAACTGGAGATTGCAAGGGAACTGAACCTGAGACTGACTGTATACAAATCAGATGCTATTCTATCACTGTGCTGAAACCCTTTCCCGAAAATGGTACCTTGGGGGATATATAAGTAGGATGAGAATTGCAATAATGAAGCTAGATTTTTAAAAACAAGTACCATATGCAAAAGCGTTTACAGGAAATTAAATCCAAAAGCTTTCCACTAAAAAATCAACAAATAATATGTTGCTAATAAAGCTGCCATAAAATGTCTCTGATTGGAGTGGAGGAATAATATATGGAATAGAATATAGCTTACATTATTTTTTTTTTATTTTGATAAAACCACACAAATTATATATAATAAGAAATGGGATGATGGGAGAAGAAAAACTCAGTTTGGAAACCAATTTGCAAAGCATATATTGAGAGAAAAAAGATCAAGCATACGAACCTTATGTGCCCAAATAAGAATTCAAATAGTATTACCTACAATAGGGTGCACAATCAGCCAGAAGTCAGGTGTTGCCATTAAGTGATTAACAGCAAGAACTTTTCCTTCCAGTATTTCTGGTACCAACATCTTGGCAACCATGAAAGTGTTCACATGAATTGGTCATTGAGCAGATCACAGTGGATAGGAAAGCAATTTAACAATATTTTTATACTTCCAAAGTTCATCTTGACTTTAGAAAAGTTCAGTATGCATAATTTGTCACAACAGGGGATATGAAATAAAGAATGGGAAAAGAGAAACGCTGGATCATGACTCTAAAGAAGCATATACATAACATATATGTGTGTGTGTTTGTTTTTAGGTCCTAAAGAAGAAGAAGAAGCTGAAGGGTCTGATGATGGTAAGACCTTGACTATTGCAAAATATGGGATTTGTAATATATATAGCTTTTTGGTAATTTAGTATTTTTGTACTAATTTCTAGAAGAGAAAGAAACAGAAACTAACTATCGGACAGTGACTATTAATACAGAACAAAAAGTTTCAGAATTCTACCATGTTGAAGAAAGATTAGGATCGTAAGTATAACAATATGTTTCCCCTTTTTTGTTGGAATAGTACATTAGCTCATTAAAAATCTACTGTCACATCACTAACTTTTTAAATGCCCATTAACTGAGTCTCTAAGGTGTATCTGATTCCTTCTTCTATACTTTTCCTCAAATAATGTTCTACCAAATGAGTATATCACCATACTGTTTGCAGTCATCAAATGTAGTTAATTGGGAACAGTAAAATTGGTACTCTTGGTCTGTTTCAGTAATCAGCTGCTTAATCAGCCAGACTCTACAACCTTGCTGCCATAAAGTTTATTTCCTGCTTTACCAAATGGACAATTATTCAATATGATGTTAATTTTATATATATGTTCTCTTTTATTGATATACATTTTTTAATTAAGCTATGTGATATAAGAAGGCATAGATGTCCCAGATCTCAACAAGAATTAAAAAAAAAAATCAGTATTCCTCGTTTACCAATCAATTGGTTTGCTTTATGGGATTGTTCTGAAGCTAAAAATAGAAAAATTCATTTTGGCAAATGTCAGTGACAGTTGTGCTTTTGGGGAAGCAGAGAATGTACCCACCGGTCCAGCACTAATGGCAGCGTGATTGGCATTCTTTACATACAGATTACTCACTTGGTAGCTGCCCAAGACAACTAGACAAGTCTTGCTGTGCATTGTCAAATGGAGCTGGAGAGTCCCTCCTCCCTTTCTGTTGCACGGCGTGTACTGGGATGGCCACCTAGCTGTAGGTTTCCTGAAAGGGACGTATGCATACAGAGAAATGCACTGAATTGTTACAAGGAGATTCTGCAAGAGGCAACCGTTCAGTCCAGTTGTCCTGTTGACAAGAAACATAGCACATTGAGTATTATTCTAACATTTGGTTCACTCTACCCATCAACCCATTAGAGACTGGATGCTCTTGAGGGTGACAAATGAATCTTAATGACTAATACAGGTAGCTGGAAGAGGCTTCCAAAACCTGGATGCCTTGCACAGAGGGAAGATCAGTAATGAAATCCATAGAAGTGTACTCCCAAGTACAAAAGGGAAGGCACAGACTAGATAGAGCAAGCTAGTTGGCTTTTCAGAAACATACTTAGGCCAGTGACAAACATGACAAGATGAAACATGGTCTTTGACATCTGCTCTTACCCTCAGCCATAAAAACTCTCCAAGTACCCAGTGCAGAATTTTAAACACTCCCCCATAACCAGCAGTTATATTGTCATAACATAGTTGCAATCTCTCTTCCCTTAAAGGAAGGAGAATGTATAAACAGCTATTTTGAAACAACTGTTAATAATTCATAGAGAAAGGTAAAGATTTAGTGGGTCTCCTTGGAGGTCATCGATCCACACCCTGACATGCTTCTTATTGTGGAGTCCTTGGGGTTCTCTGAGCTTGGTTGTTTTCTTGCAGATATTTCGTTACCTGGCTAGGTAACATCTTCGGTGCTATAAGTGAGTGGGGTTTGATCTCTGTTTATATATAGTAGCTTGCCCTGTATATTCCAATCAAGCAGTAAACAACAGCCTAATCAAGGAACTACCAAGGAGAAAACAACATCTCCACCAACACTGATAGGGCAAACTACTGAAAATAAAAAGAAAACAACCCCCACTCACTTATAGCACCGAAGATGTTACCTAGCCAGGTAACGAAATATCTGCAAGAAAACAACCAAGCTCAGAGAACCCCAAGGACTCTGCAGTTCAACCCTGAGCTACACCTATTCTCTTCTATCAGTATACATCTTATTGTTGCAGTCTAATCCATTCTGTCTCCCTGTCCCCAGTCTTTCTAGGAGGTTTAATCCCTGTAGAAGGGCAAAGCTGCTAGGCTTCAGGGTTCTCATAGGGGAGTTCATAAAGATCTATTTAGGACTCCTCTCTTTTAGCTTGCTCAAGATTCTCAAAATGTTCAATGGTGCAAAGCCCTTTTTGTCTTGTTTCTCCATATCTTTTGTAATTAGGAAATCACCTGCATATACAAATTGCATTTTAAAGCAGAATTATTCCTTTTATTATTGGAAGAAAATGTTGCTTAATGGGAGACCTTTGCACACTAAGCTTTGCACACCAAGGATTCCAAGTTCCATACTCAGTGTTCTGATTTTAAGATCTCTGATATCAAATATTGCCAGAGACCATGGAGAGCTTTTGCTATTCACTGTAGAAAAAACTGTGCTATATAGGCAAGTAAAAAATCCGAGCTGCTGTAGGGCAGGTTTTCACATTCCTGTAACTATTTCTTTAACATGTCTGTGCCTGTGAATCCAGACTTGTTGGTTTTGACTAAGTGCCTGTCAGCTGAGCATAAGAATCACATTAATCATTTTAATCCCTAGAAACTAGGGCATTCAGAAAGCATGTTTTCCTCTATTATATATTTCATTTCATGGGGATTTTTCTATACTTTTCAGAGGGAAATTTGGACAAGTCTTCCGGCTTGTTGAGAAAAAAACTGGAAAAGTTTGGGCAGGAAAATTTTTTAAAGCATATTCAGCTAAGGATAAAGAAAACATAAGGCAAGAGATCAGCATAATGAACTGTCTGCACCATCCAAAACTTGTCCAATTGGTAGATGCTTTTGAAGAGAAAGCTAATGTTGTCATGGTATTGGAACTGTAAGTATAAAGTTGACTGTGGTAGCAAAAATATCATTGTTAATGTTTTTATCATCTTAATTACCTAACAAACCTGAAAATCCTGTTTATTTATTAATTTTTAAAATGGCATATTTTCCAGTAAGTTCTTCCTATGCTCCAAAGGGGATTACTTGGATTGTACTTGTAGTATAAAGGTACACCTCAGTATTACATTGGAACAGCACAGTCACTTTCTACATTCTCCAGTTTTGAATATAGCAACTACAGGTAGTCCTCACTTAATGACCACAATAGGGACTGGAAAATTGGTCATTAAGTGAGGTGGTCATTAAGTGAGTCATCAAACCTGATTTTACGGCCATTTTTATGATGAATGTTAAGCGAATCACCACTGTCATTAAGCAAATCATATGGTCATTAAGCAAATCCAGCTTCCCCAATGGACTTTTTTGCCAGTAACTAGCAAAAAAGGTCATAAATCGCAATCATGTGACCACAGGATGCTGCAACTGGTCGTAAACGGGAACTGGTTGCCAAGTACCCGAATTGTGATCATGTGACCACAGGGGTGGTGCAACGGTTTGTGACAGTTGTAAGTACAAGTACAGGTCATAAAGCACATTTTCCAAGGCCGTCGTAACTTCAAACCATCGTTAAATGAACGATCATTAAGCTAGGACTACTTGTACTTTAAGCAACATCTTGCAATTTAGAATACTTCATTCAGCTCTACAAAATACAATAGATCATTATTTTTAAACAATTAAATATTAATTCCATTTAAATATAGCAATAAAAGGTGATTGCTGTCCAATCCCAAGATGTTTTTCAGACATGAGCACTTCCATGGTTTGCAGGCTTATGTGGGAATAAACCTCACTGAACAAAATGGGGCAACTTCTGTGGAGAATGAATTGGATTAAACTGCATTTTCCTGTTTTATCTTTTATTTCAATCTGGTATTTCCCAGAAGCAGAAAGAACAGCACTGCAAATGAAAGCTCTGAAAATAGCTATTCAAACTTGATTTATCCCATCATAATTCATTTGAGTTCATTTGAAATTATATGAATCTAAGCAAGTTTTTAATTCTCCCCTTTAATGTAAGAATTATTATGTTCTAGCTCTAGAATATTGGTGGACAGATGAAAGCTAATAATTTTATGCATATTCAAGCTGTATCAATCCTGAAAATCCCCAGGTTTTATTTTGATGTTTTTTAATGCATTATGGTTTAAATGATAATGACACAATATCTTAATAGTTCAGAAACCTGGAAATATCTTTTTGCAATCCCAAATTCATTATGAATTTTCCTTCAAATCACTTAATGAAAAAGTCTGTTCTCTTTCATATTAGGAGTGGATGAAGCTATAATAAATTTAAGGAATAAGTATAACCTGTTTTTGTATTTGGCATATTTGTATTTGGCGGGTCCCAGGAGGTAGGCTTTCTCTGCCGTGGCTTCTGCCTTGTGGAATCTTATCCCCCCGGAAGTGAGGTTAGCCCCATCTCCCTTAACATTCCACAGGTCCCTTAAGACCTGGCTATGTGATCAGGCCTAGGGGTCCCAGGGGACTGGGGAGATTTTGCAATGGCTCCCTTACTGTGGTTAACATAGTCCTCTCTTGTTTCATGTGCTTTTTTATAGTTTTTATAGTTTTAATAATGACTGTTTTATGTTTGTTTATTGGTTTTCTTTTTAACTGAGTGTTGTACACCACCCAGAGTCACCTTTTTGTGACATGGGCAGTTATACAAATATGATAGATAGATAGATAGATAGATAGATAGATAGATAGATAGATAGATA